GTTGGAGTTCTACATCACACGACGGTTGATTGACAAATGGTCCAGAGGTACCTAAGGCACCTCTCCTTTCATAGCGGCCTTCGTGTTTAACGATAAATTGCCCTAATAAGACGCCTGCACTGCAGGCTAACTACGATTCACTTCCCCCAACAAATGAATCGCGTTCAGCGTTGCGAAAGGCGGTTTTAAGTTTTGGAAATTGAACGTGCTATAAGTAATATATATTCCTGTTATAATGGGAATAACATTAACAGTAATAGTAATAACCAAGCCCAAATCGGCAGAAATCGCCAAGGAGTGGGTAATTTTTATTAATCTTACGTGTAAAATGTTTATATTCAGTTCGGGATATTTAGTGTTGTAAATGGACCACAACGCGTAACCCTTTCATTAATATTAATATTTTGTTTGATTTCAAAAGTGCGATGCCTAAGGTCATTTATGATGACTAACCTCGACGAGATGGCATCAAATATGGCGATTAAAGGTTGTCTTTCTTCTGGAGCATAGACCAAGCATTGACGCACCATGGTATACAACCAAGTAGGACAACATTCAGGCTGACGTAACACGTGCTTGCCTTGCACTTGAGGCAAAATCTGCTGTAAAGAAACGTATTGTTCATATCCCTACTGCAGTTCATTGTAATTTCATTACCTTACATCTAAAGACATGATTGACTCTTTCGCTTTCTTTACAGCTCATAAATGGAAAAACACTTCAAGTAACAATCGACTTACTGTGAGTGCCAATATTCATTTAGAAGGAGGACTTATCAACGGTGCAAGCTTCAATTACTTTTTGTAAAATGCGATCAACACTTCGGTTCTCACGGAGAAAAAATTCAATGTTCAGGAATTGGACTCCTTAACGAGGCACATGATGAGATAGCAGGTAGCTGGTTTATGCTGCACGTACTACATTCCTATCAAAGTCAACAAAATTCTTACTCTCCCCAGCTAAAAACAACAAACATACCTTTGCACTGCACGTAGGAAGAGGGGTCGGGCCGAATTCTGGTCTCATTTGCTCTAACAATAGAAGGACAATAACTCAAATTAGAAGACTCGTTGTCGGTGTTAATAAGCTTGTTATAAATTAAAGAACTAATTTAGGAAAAAATAAGCAAATTAGAATCGGGTCAAAAAACTTGGGAGCAATTCTGAAATTCTTCACGAGCTGAGCCATAAAGCTCCAAGTAAACCCTAAGCAAGAAGTACCTGATAGTTTCCGCAATTCTTGTAGCCTACTCTGGATATTAAATAAACTGCCGCTGTATCGCTGCCACTGCCAGCGCTGGGTTGACAATTCGTATCCATCATCATCGAAATACGCTTTGTGAGGGAAAACATCACTGTTATCTGCAACCTCAAAAACGAAAAGAAAAGACATTTTAAAGTTCAACATAAATTTACCAGCCTTTAACATACAAAGTCTTAACGGGAAAGCGTATGGTCGGTACACTGGTCGTTCATCTTTAGGCAGACAGCCTTTTTGCAGTGAAACGTTTTAACCCACGGGCATCATCTGGTCGTGTAGTCTGATCGCCCTGGTGGAGTGGTCATGAGAAGGAATGTTGTCGGTATTAGTGACTGACGTTTCGACAACCTGAGCGGAAGTCATCATCAGAGTCGAGTGAGGTGCAGACTTAAAATACTGACTGACTACTTGAAAAAAGAGTGATTCTACAAAGTTGAAATTTCCCTCTCTTTTCAGAGAGAAAAATTAGTGAAATATCGCCAATTTACACTTGTTAAGTACTTACATATACAAACAGAATATTCCTCGCTGGACGGTACAAACAAGTCAACACCCATACATTGGAAGTAGAATGTTTTGTTGACCCTTGAGTCGTATTCCACTGAACAGCTAACTCCGGATTATCAGACGTTGTTAAGAGTTCTGGAAAATAATAATAATTAATCCAAAGTTAAGGAATTCGGCAAATGTATCACACACCCAAGAGATGAAGGCCCGTCAAGTGCATTATTCTAGACTGGAAATGTTTAACTAAGTTAACTTAGACTGAATTATTATACATACGATCAGTTCCTTACCCCTTGTTGATTGTAGGCAAGGAATGTCTTCAACGCAGCCAGAGGAAGCTCCCATCATAACTGCTTGGGTTTCCTGTTTAGTTTGTTGTAGAAATTGTCCATATTCTACCGCAAACGTCTGATTGTGTAAACTGTTGTCTTTTATGCAATTAAACAGGAAAAACCACCTTTCATACTCCGTGATTAGATGAGATTGGATACCTTCCGCTTCTGAGCCAAAGAAAAAGGAAGTATCACATTTATTAAGACCTTTCAGGTGTTTCAAGCCGTGGGCTTCAAGAAGGAAGCTATCTTGAAAAATTGAGAGTTGCCTTCCTCGTAAGGTCGCTAACACAACTTTGTTGGACACTCTACAGTTTACTCGCTGTCGGTTAAAATGTCCAATTTCACTAAAAGACGTCAAACTTTGGCTCGCAGCAGCCTTCTTGATTCCACATTCCTGATCCTCATCTACCAATGCATTTTCGCTGAGCTCATCTGCAAGGTAATCCACTTCTATTTCGGAAAAAAAAAGAGAAGTACAATACGCTGCGTTAACTATAGCCATGACAAACACTTGTGGTCCGTAAAGGGGTTTTGATATCCATAACCATAAATTTTTCCGAATGAAATGGAAAGAGGGGTAAAATCTGCCGAAAAACGAAACAAAAAATATTAATTTTTAAACGATAATAGTGAAAGGCTATACTAATGCGTTGTTTCAATCTGTAGAACGGGTTATTGTTTGCTCTCCCTTTTCTAAGGCTTATACGCGTAAATTCTTTCTACACCAATAGCTAACTGAATGTTTTACAAAACAACCACAAGTACAATGGTGGGAAGGATTTAGTGTCCACTAACATTTATGACAAAAAAAACATGACCACGGGGTACCTTTAGAAGTCGCCAGAGGAATGTTATCTTCAGACTCGGAGCTTACGCTCTCGCAAGATTCGTTAGACGAGGTGTCAATGTCTCCCAAATAACCAGTGTCCTTTACAACATTACTTTCAAGATGATTGCTCTTTTGTTCACTGCTGAGACCTGTTTGGTAAAAGCACAAAATTAAAAGAAATAATGGGTTACTGCCCATACGTCACCCTCCGCTACAATCTTAACGGTGCGCGGTTTCTTTCGTATAAACATCACTTCACAACTTGCAAGCTGTATACATATCTAAAAACATATTCTAAGTCAGCAGTGCTAGTTGTTCACTCACCGGGCTGCTTTTGCGCTTCCTCCGCAGCTCTCACAAGCTCAGACCAGTCGATTGTCTGTTGGTAGTTTGGGGCGTCACTCTCTAAAGAAAATCTAAGCAGCAAAAATTTGTTTTAACGATTGTATTTTAATTGTTTATGACTCGTTAACGTTCGCAAAAAGCAGTCGATCTAAACCTTATGATGCTCATAAAAAATGACTGCATCAGCAGTGACGAAGGGCTAACGCTCGAAGCGTCAGCTTTTTAACTCATTACGGTGGCCAATTTACAATTTCAGCCTAAGTTGATATAACCAAATCTCATAGGTTAAGTCGAGGATAGTCGACACAAAAATGGGAAAGGACAATTCAATATCAAAATAAAAAAAAGTCTAGATCGTTTTAATCTCTGCTGAAACTCGACCCACTCTCATCCCAGACAGAGTGGAAAAGGGCGACTAAATCTTTTGCGAAAAAGCATCAAATAAGTCAACAAGAGTTAACCAAAGAAGCCCAATATCATTTTAAAACAAAAAAGAAGAAACTAATGTACATCAACCTGAGTGGCAAAGTGAACTCACTACAACAGTCTAACGCCTGATGTCGATCCGTGGCTCGCAGTTAGAAGTAGACGAGCATTTAAATGTCTCTAACACCGTATATTACCGCGATGAATAACCTCAACCTTTTTTGTAATCTTAGTACCTTTTAGTTATCTCCTCAATGTAAATTGCTCTCTTCTCATGCCCACAGTCTCTGGCAATAGCTTCAGGAAGAGCTGACCTGTCTTTGTAAAGGTCATAAACTACTCTTCCGGCGGAAGAGTTGAAGATCATTTCAATGAATACGTGGCCACCAATTTCTGCTGCAGCGTAAACTAAGACGCATAGCATCTGAACTGGCTGTTTACAACCTAAAAAATATTGTGAGTGATTACAATTGGTCAAACATGGCCAGCCAAGCAGCAATTACTGGTGAACGTCTATCAAACATAACTTTCTGGCCAGAATAGTTAAGTGCTAAATTTAAATCCAGTATTCTGCTAACAACTCTAATAAATAAAAAAAAAACATTTTGAGAAAATAAAACTGTTAACTTTCACATTGACTGGTCTAGCCGGTCAGATCCAACAAACAATAAGTGAACAACGAAGACAATTCTTTAAATTTGTTTTCAAAAAGGCAAAAGATTTTTTAAAAAAATGATATTCAGTATAACATTGCAATAGGTAGGGGACGATATTGAGAGCTTGTAATTTGATATTTTGAAGGAATTAAAGGATATACATAAATGACGCATGATTTGTAAAAATTGATTGAATGATTGACCGATTGATTGACTAGTTGATTAATTGATTGATTAACAGTAAGATTGACTATGATGTTAGTAGCCTGGGGAGAGGGCGTAATTTTGACGGGCGAGTACTCAGTATTATCTCGGTGAAAATTCCAGCAGCCATCTTTGATTTTACAGCAGCGGAAGGCTGGAGAGAGAAATAGATTTTGTACTAAGGGGGTGGGCGAAAGTCAAAAAGAAGGAGAGGGGGGTGGGGCAATGAATATTACCGCCTTCCCCCGCCCCCTACCCCTACCGTCGACTCTAATTCCATATTAAACAAACGATCGCCCAACTATGACGCTTGCACTGCAGGCTTTGATGTTAGCAATGATTCAAGATTAGAGCTTTACAGAATCCTCAACATCTTTTAAAAAAATTCAACAATTTAGGATTCTCGCCTTAGCTTGCATCTGTTAGGGTCACCTGCAGTTTTTCTCAGTAGTTCTCATGAAATTTGGATGTAATCAATAAGTTGCGCCACTCACCACAAATTCCAAAATTTTGTGCTTCACCCCCAGTGGATGTTGTAGTGTTATGAGTATCCAAATTATGAGCCCATTTTCGCAAAAGATGCGGCAGTAACCTAGGGCTTTGAACCACCACCTCGATAGCCTCGAGTTCTTTATCATAATATTTAATATATGTTTCGCCCAACGCTTTATCATCAGCTTTCTTTAAATAAATCTTGACCCAGCCTGGCTGTTGGGCAGCTATAATAACAAAAACACGCAAAAATAATGATCATCACGATTAAAACTGTGGAGAAGGCATACCTCGTACCTCATTCCTTTTTTCGCTCCTCGTTTCTTTTCGTGCCTTTTTGTTCTGTTTTGTTTTTCTTTAAAACTTTTGTCTGATATTACTGAGATGTGAAATTCAAACAAACTAAATATAGAACACAAATACAAGGTACTTCGGTGTCACCAAAATTAGTAAAGGATTAGCGGATCTAATACTTTGCAAATTCGTTTTCACTTGTACGTAATTACAAAAAAATAAAATACTGATCATAGATATTTGAAGTCAAAGCTCCTGCTGTTACTCTAATGACCACGAGAGTACACATGCTAAACATTTCGTTTATCTCCGCACTAGTTAAGCATGAGTTGAGAACAGTTTCACGGTTATATTTAAAGAGTAAGAATCAACATACGTGGAATCTCCATTCCAATAAGGAATTTATCCCTAAACCTATCCACTTCAACTGCTCCCAGATTCTCGAAGCTTGCAAATCCGGACAGCACCTTCCCTGGCAACTTTCGATCAGATTCAAAGCGACAATAACCTGCACCCTAGAAAACAGAAATATGCCGCGTAACGAAAAGTGCAAACGTTTACGATGATCACCGTACCATGTACAACTTAGTAAGTTAATCCATTCAGACACAGCCAAAACTGATTTCCTTAAAAGTTTAATAACTCTTCTCTAATTATATCTGATTGTTTATCTATTAATGTACATATTGATAGAATTTCGCGGTAGAACACTCTTAATATGGTTGATTGCCATACAATTTAGGTGCATTTATTATGATAGAATTATAACATGCATATAACAGAAAACCACCTGCATATCAATCACATAAGGCGTGTACTGATACAGTGATGAATACCTTGCTACGATAATTTTCGTAAACCCTTACCTCCAGGGGAACCTTATTCGGCTCGACAGTGAAGTTAAAGTGCTCATCTTCATGTGTTGACAGATCATCTACGGAACATAATTGAGATTTTACCAAAGATTTGTACACACGCAGTTTCTGTAAATTCTCGCTAGTTCCCTCTCTGAACTTATGGCACATCACTGATCATGACAGAGTAAAATATGAGTGCTCTGAAGAGTGGTCGGCTCTACAAAGCCTTAAAAAACGCAAAGACATAGTTATCAAAACGGCCGATAAGGGCGGCTCAGTCGTTGTTTAGCGCACCGACCTCTACCAAAAAGAAGCTTTGCGGCAACTTTCTGACACCTCTTTTTATCAAAAGGTCGACGAAGACCTCACTGCCAGCAATCAAAACACCGTCAAAAATACGATCAACCAACTCATAACTAAACAAGAATTGCCGGCCACAGCAAAAAATCTCATCATAACCACTCCTAGAACTTCTTGTATTTACTTTTTACCTAAAATTCACAAACCTAACAACCCGGGTCGGCCCATTGTCTCGGCTTGCAGTTGCCCTACCGAACTTATCTCCAGCTATCTAGACAAAATTATGGCTCCCATCGTCAAAACTTTACCATCATATATTAAAGACAGCCAACACGCTCTTCAAATTTTTCGAGACTTTAATTTCCTTGGCCAAAACAAACTTCTTTTCACCATGGATATTACGTCTCTTTACACTGTCATTCCTAATGGCGAAGGCCTTCTGGCCCTTAAACATTTTTTTGATCAACGTACTGTTAAGGAACCTAAATCTGAAACACTACTACGCTTAGCCGAACTAGTGCTCACACTCAATTGTTTTTCATTCGGAAACAACTTCTTCAAACAAACCAATGGTGTAGCCATGGGCACCAAAATGGGACCTAGCTATGCCAATCTTTTTGTAGGTTTTGTCGAACATCAATTTTTCAGCCAATACAACGGGTCCAAACCTGAACTCTACGGTCGCTACATCGACGACTGTATCGGCGCTACCTCCTCTACCAGAGAGGAGCTCACTCAATTCATAACCGCAGTCAATTCTTTTCACCCGGCTCTGAAATATAC